CATTTGAAATCATTTTATTTGACATAACTTATGTGCTAAATAGTGTTGTAACAGCTCATTGGAAAGATTAAACTTGATTTTATTAAATTATGCAATAAAAAGAAAGGTTTAAAAATTAACATCTATTTCATGCTTTTAGTAACACAAAAAATATTTTCAAATAAAAAAAAAAAATTAGGTAAAAATTTTTTTTTAAAAAAAAAAAGCTTTTAATTCTACAGGTTAGAAGCATACGTCATGATAATTATACAAAAATATTAACATTTTATAAAAGCTGAATGTTTAAGCTATAAAATGGTATATAATAATGTAACTTTTGTAAATGTATTTTACTAGAATACTAGAATACCTCTCAGTCTCTGCCTAATCTTTTATTTAAAAGGAATTATTGTAGTTTGAGTGCATGACTTTAAAAAGTTTAGATTTTTATTTTTTGCCATTCCCAAAGATAATTAAAAAAAATAGTTAACTGATGACTTTATTGACGTTTTTTTTATTTTCATAAATGATGTATGGTTTATGCAAGATTGTAAAAACGATAGTATGATACAATGATATCATGATTACAATGACTTTTAAAGATATCTAATTAAATCCATATTTTTGATATATATTATATAATTAATATTCTATTTAATAAAATTTTCTAAAAGTATTTAAAAATATTAAATAGAAACAAACTTACCAGTGAGAAGTGAAAAGAGTAATACCATTATTGTTGTGTATCCAAAATATAAAAAAATACTTGTGTGACCAGAGATAGAAAGCTTTGTCATAAAATAATGCACAGAATACGCAAATAAATAAACTCCTGTAAAAGCACTGGTCAAAAACGAGCGCCACCACCAATGATAATCCTGCATAAATTTAATTTACTTTCAGAAATATCATGATACAAAAAGCTTGATAATATATAACTATAGGATTTTAGAACATATAACTATGTTCAGAATATATAACTATTCTATGAGAATTTTAGAACATATAAAGTTTTTATAAATGTAACAGGATTTTAGAAAATTTGATTATATATTATTATAAATATAGATATATTGAAAATGTAAAAGCAGAATAGATAGGATATTAAAACATTCTAAGATAGTAATTTAAATTATAAAATTTGTCTTAACTATAATTAATAACTAATTAAAATTAATAATACATGTTTTTTTATCAGAGTAATAATAACTAAATTAGAATAAAAATTTTAATAACAAAAAGATTTTTTTTTTAAAATAAGATCATTATTTAAAATTAAAATTCTTCTTAAGTACACAATATAAAATGCAATATTTTTTAATTATTTATACACACACACACACACACACACAAAAATATATATATATATATATATATATATATATATATATATATATATATATATATATATATATATATATATATATATATATATATATATATATACAACCCTCGGAATTGGGGTCGGCATTCGGCATTGTTGACCTAACTGCCGACCTAAACGCGTGTGCGGTCAGGAAAAAAAAATTCAGTTTTGCCGACCTTGTTTAAATGTTTTATAGTAAGACCTTTGTATTTGCCGACCTCTAAAATATTGAGGTCGGCAAATTATTGCTGACCTCAATATTTTAAATTATTGCAAATTATTACCTCAATTTTCCTAATTTTGAGGGTTGTGTGTATATATATATATATATATATATATATATATATATATATATATATATATAAATATGCCATACAAAATTTTAGTATGAAAATTTAATAATAGTTTACCAAGTGTAATATTATTTTGCTTTTATTTACCTTTTTCCACACTCACAGTAAACTAGCTGTTTACCTCTAATGTAACATCTTAAAAATATTATTTATATTATAGCCACTGAAATTTATAAAGGCAATAGGAGGAGGAAGGGAATAGAGAGGAAGTTAACGAAGGAGTAAGCCACACAAAACAAAATGCATTTTAAACAAACAACTTAATTCACTTACTTCAGCACAAAGATGAAAATAGCATAATAGCACAGTTGTTTCAGAGCATGTAATTAAAAGTATGATGTAGACCAAAAACAAAAAGCCAAACATGTAATAAATTTGATGAGACCTAAAACATAAAATAAGTAAAAAAAGTAAAAACCTTTTTTGTTAATTATAAATGGTAAATATTTACTAATATAAAATATATAATATCTTTATATAAAAAAATATATGAAATATTTACTTAAATTTACAACAGTTAAAATTAAACTAACCACAAACTGTTAAGGATGAAGAAAAGTTGAATAAAGATACATCCAAAGGGAAGAATTCCTCCCATTACAATGCACGGAAAAGATCTAGTGTATATACTCTAAAATGTAAAACATAATTATATTATATTTAAATTTGTTTTTTTACACTTAAAAACTTTTATTCTAATTTTTTAGAATAAAAGTTTTTAAGTGTAAATTTATTTTTGCCAAATCAATGATGAAAAATAATTTCCAATAATTTCCAGTAAACTTTATTTTTCATCATAAATGCTTTCAAACTGCAAAATGTAAACAGCAAAACTTTAGAAAAACTTTGCTTCTGTGGCCAGGCCAACAAGATTTCAAAGTTAGTTTAGAAAGTTCTCGATTTCTACTAGAATATTTTTAAACTGTTATTATTGTCCTTGAAACTTCCAGAATATTCTAGAACTTTCATAAAAATTCCAGAATATTCTAGAACAATTCACAAACTGCCCAAAAGCAGTCATACAAGTATAAATATTTCAGTTTGTAATGAATCCAATTTGAAGAGAAAATATTTAATTTAAATGACATCATGAGATTGTGAGCATCAAGCAGATTACGACATGTCAGTGATTTGGACAAGCAATCATCAAATTTTGAAATAAAAATGTGCATGTTTACAGAACTCTTAAAGGTAAGTTGAATAAATGCTTTGATGTGCTTTCATTTGTAGAATTTTGATAATTTAGAAATATGTAGATTATTTTAAGAAGTTGCAATCAACAAAGTATCCATATATATATTTATTATAACCTGTATTGTAATGTGTGAAATTTCCTTTAAATTTATATAATTAGTTATACCTATGTTAAAGGTTGGTAGAGGAAAAAATAGAGCAATAAAGTCTGTTATCCAGCAAATATGGCAACAACTGACAGACTATTTAAGCAACAGCTTCTTCTGTATATTATTGTTGATCCCACAAACTGTCGTTCAAGATCAATTGCACGAATTAATATACCCTAGTACTGCACAGCTGCCTACTCAAAACTGTCCAAAAAGGGATCAGCCAACATCAGGAATGACCACCGTGTCTAACGGCAAGGAAGATATTGGAGATAAAAGTTACAATTTCAAACATGCAGTTGAGGTGGTCATACTTTCAGAAAGATATCAATGATCTAATCAAAGATCTAGGTCTTACCAAGTTGAATGCTGAGCTTCTGGTGTCCAGGCTCAAGCAGTGAAATTTGTTGGACAAAAATGTGCAAGTTGCAGATAAGAAAGAGCGTCATTAAACATTTTACCACTTTTTCAGTCAGAAAGATAGGCTGTGCTTCTGGTACAATGTGGACAATCTTTTTCAGGCTACTTGTATCACATGTAATCACTCAGTGAATGATGCTTATTAATAGACAGTTTATCCTAGAACCTCAAAGCTGTGTTGCTCAGGATTATCTTTTTCCAGATTTTTTGACTTTTTTTATTTTTTCTGGATTTCCAAAGAGTTTTTCAGAAATAAAAGTTATAAAGTCTTTTTTTGAAACTCTGTCATCAAATAACTAAAACAGTAATTTTTAGAATGGTTCTTTATGTCCTTCTTACTGCTATTTTTGTAAAACAGTAATATGTTACAAATATTGCAAAGAACCTTACCAGGAATATTGATCTTGATGAATAATCCTAGAAAGGTATTTGGCAATATTTGTAATGTATTCATATCATACAAAAATAGCAGTAAAAAGTACTTAAAAACCACTCTAAAAACAAATTGCATTAAGAAAAAATAAAGATCGTGCAAAATCAACACTACTCTTTTGCCGTTAGTTACCAAGAAAAAAGTTTAAATTACTTGTACTTTACCATACTCTAAATATTCATGACAAGCATGCATGTGCAAGCAAAATAGAAAGGTTTTAAAGTCCATAGGCAAAGAAGATTGGAAAGCACACAATAAAGCAGTGCTTGTTTTTTGTTGTTGCTGAACATTGACTACCACTTAGTTTTACAAGTGTGATAAACTTATTATTGTAGGGGTTTTAAAAAAAGTATTATTACTTATTCACTTGTACAGTAAGTTATAAATATTCTGGCATGTTACGAAAAATTTGTTTTTTGAAAAATTGTTTGCTAAGCTCCTAAAAAGGACAGAGATAGGAGCTTGGAACAGTTTTGTTGTAGTTGTTTATGGCTTCTTGGATAATCACAAAACTAAAAACTATATGGAGTTGGTTCAGATTCTAACAAAGAGTTTTGCCTAAATGGGATGCAGAACTTAAAAAATATAAATAAAGCCGTAATTTTTAATACATCATAACGTTTATACTTCAAAAGAAAGGAAGTTCCAACTTGAACGACTTTAAAAACTGTCAAAAGTTAAAACATTTAAAATTAAACATTTGAACTGAGAGCTCTGCTATGAATGCTTTAATTTTAAAATTTTTAATTTGAAAACCGAAAACAACTAAATTTATATTTATAAAAATAAATACCTTTATGATACTTCATTTTTTTTTGATATTTAAAAAAAAAAAAGAAAGTAATAATGCAAACAAAATAAATTTGTATTAAATATTATATTGGTATCAAATAAACAAAAAAAAAATTGTATTAAATATTTTGTTGGTATTAAATATACAATCAAAATAAATTTGTTTCAAATATTTTGTTGGTATTAAATATACAAACAAAACTTTGTAAAAATACAAATTTTTAAGTACTTAAAAATTTGTATTTAATTTTTTTCTTATGTCAAAATTATGATAAAAGCCCAAAAACATCAGTTTAACTCAATTTAATATATAA